TTTATACATTTGTGTGAAAATTGAGAGCGAGAAGTCATATGAACAGGATTTTCTTGTTGTTGTTTTTTTTTTTGGGGGGGGGGGGGTTATAAATAAAAGTCAAATGTGTACATCTTTTCATGATCTTATAATACATTTAATTTCGCAATATAGATCGAGGTACGGTCATATTGAAATATGAATTATATAGTCATGTTTTCACATTTCTTATATATTTTTTACGTTTATGAACATGTTAATGAACAAACTGAAATAATGGAGTGTTCAATTGCCTTGGAAACTCTTTTTCTCTTTTTGGGAATGAAAATTCCTATGGACATTAAAATTTCATAAAAATCGTAGCCACTTCCTTTCTTTATTATACTATTTGATAGACAGGGTAAATTTTACCTCTTCCCCTTCAATATTTTTTATATCGCTATCTTATACCTCATTATAATATGCTAATACAAGCACTATCTGATTGGTTCTAGACAATATGTCACAGTTTTCTTTTAGATATTTTATCTATGAACGATCACTCATGGCAATAACTTTTCCTAGTACTCATCTTAATAAAAAAATGTGTTTGAAAATTAAAAACATAAATTTTAGTTACTTGTAGTCTTATATTGTGTTAAAAAATAACAATCCTTTTGTTGTAACATCAAAACAAAAAAATATGTTCAAACCAGAAAATAAGGGTTTTGTTCCCTTTTTGCACACATTTTAATTACAGGTAATTAAAAAATGTGTGAAAATGGGAATTTACCAGGTGAAATAATTAAATTGCTATAGTTAACCAATTATTAAGTATGTGGAAGGTAAACTTATAGTGAAAATATAGAATAAATACATGAACATGAAATAATAGGTGAAATTATCTGATGATCTTAAATTTCTTGGCTTGGGATTATTTTCAAATTAATTTTTATTTCTATTTTCTTTACTATTTGTTATATTTATTGAAATCATTTATCTAGATTGAAAATTATTCTTTTTTTAAAGAAATTGGACTAAATTAATAATAATATTAAATAAATAAATATTAATATTGTATTCAATAAAACCAAATATTTTCCCATAAATATATATAGAATTTTAATAAAATGTTTATAAAATTGTATTAAACACTTTACAATACATTAAGCTAAATCAGGTATTCACAGGTAAATCCAAACCATAAATCAGACTAAAAAATTGTTATAAAAACACACTTCACACCTATTGTTCTATATCTAATTACAAATGTGTGCAAAACGGAACACACCAAAATAACAGGTTGCTTTTTTTTACCTACAATGTATATGATTTTTTTTTGATGAATAAATCTTCCCTACGATTAAAAATATATGACCAGTTTAACCCCCGTGACATTCAAAGAGAGGTCTCTTGGACACATGTAGAACACAGTCGAGGTTTTTTTGTCAGAGGTGGTCAAGAAGCCGTTAGTCCCCCCCCCCCTTTGAAGTCCCCAAAAAATGGTAAATTATTGATGACTTAGCGAAATTAAACGATTAACAGTTATGTTCTCTCATAAGCTGTATTCCTAAACTATCACTGTCTCTGCTAAAATGTTGAAAATTTCTGCAAATATGTTTAATGATAAATAAAAAAAAAAGTTTTCAAAAAAAGAAAAAGGTTTTTTGCCGAAATTTTAGACATGTTTATCATTACATTATTTATAAATTCATAAATAAATTTGATTTTATGCACAAGATGAATGTGAAAGTAATTAATGACATAATTAGATACGATAGACAATCCCTTGTTTTCATGGCATCATATCTGGTGTGTGAAATGTGTTTCCGTATAATTTGATTTATTTACAAATTGTTCATGTTTGTCGTGTTGATGTGGAATTTTATAAATTCCCGAATTTGATACTTTACAATTCTGTTGTTTTGGGGAAAGGGAACATTAGGAAGATACATATACTTGCAACATCAGGAAAAATATAAAGCAAATAAAATTTTTTTACAAAGCCCAGAAGGCTCATTGAATTCGAGTTTCCAAATACGAGATTGAAATTCGAGATTCAAAATTCGAAATTCGAGATTCAAGATCCAAACGAACCAATCAAAAGCGGGTTCAACATTTGATTATTTCCCTTTATTATGTTTTTACTATAAGAAATAGTTCAATATAATTATATCAAATGGGTCATTTGATTAAATTACAATGCAAGAAAAATGTTATATATATTAGAGGGAAATTTAAATAATTAATGGAATTTTGATCAGCAAAAAATATTTTTATTTATATTATAGATTCTTAAATTTTAAATAGATTTCATATATCAGGAGTATATATATTTTTGAATTGTCTACTAAACTTAATTTTTATGCATTTCCTGTTTTGGGAAAAACCAAAGGTATTGTGAAATCCCCCCCCCCTCCCCCCTCATATTCAACCCTGGGGCTTATTGGACTTTTTTTCACAAGTTTTATTTATTAAACTTATTCATCATGTATACAATAACAAAAAATTGTAAAATCCCCAGAATAATAATCGCTCACCCCCCCCCCCCCCAAAACCCACTATACATTATAAGAGAAGGATATGCCACTCCAGTCTGTTTAGTTGTACCCCCACTGGTGTTAAATGCATTTATTTTGTTTTAACTTTAGATGTCGATTCACACTGTCTCTACATATACAATGTATTTCCAGGGGCGGATCCGGAAATTTAAGTTGGGGGGCGCCGTTCAGGGGGGTTGGGGGGCCCCCTTGAGGCCCCCCGAGGTCCAGGGCAAAGCCCTGGTGGGGGCCCGGGGGGAAGGCCCCCAAGTTTTTGGGTTCTAGAGGTTTTGTAGGGTAAAAATAGGTCTACCGAGTAGACATTTAAAACATTTTCTCCAAATATGTTTTATGCTAACTTGGAAATTTTAAAGGGGGCCCCGGGGGCCCCCCTTAAATTGCCACTGATTTCTGTTTAGTCCTGCTATCGGACTGACTCTGCATCACGAATAACCCCCATTTTTTCCGTAAACGCTTTCTTTTTGTAAAGTGGGGTAATAAATAGTGTTTTTTTGTTTTGTTTTTTTTTTGGTTGAGCGATTATTCTGGGGGTTTAACGCCAGCGATTTTTTTCGTATTGTAAGGCTACCATAAAAGAGAAATAAGCCCCCGGGGGTTTAATATCAAGGGGGGGGGGGGGTTTTGTCCACACGTACCTGTGTTTTTCTAAAAATTAAGACAAGAAACATGTATTGACGCAAGCGTCAAAAATGGGGCAAACCAATTAATGTTCCTTTTATGAAGCAACTAAAGACTATGGTGGCTTTTTTAAATATCTTATATTTATCTTTTAAATATATCCTCGTGATATTAAAAGCTTGTGCTGTTGGTTCCATGATTTTCTTAATTATATAATGCATGTTAGGTATTAACCCCTGGTACTCTGCGTCAACAACTTTTGAACCGTGGGCCTGTATGGCATTTACATTAAAAGTTTAAAACTAAAATTAAATGTAATTTACAACTAGATATGCAGTGTAGTTTAATTTAATAAAAATGCAGCAAATATGTTCCTATCCTTGCTCTCTCTTCAAGGAAAAAACTAAACTCCCTTCTAGATCCGCCACTTCATTGCTTCTCTTTTGAGTTGTAGCGGGAAAATTCTTGGCACATTGTAAAACGTGCATTATCCTCGTCTGCTAAGGGCCAAATCTTGTAAATATTTTGTAGCCTGCTAAGTCTTTTAATGAATTTACATTTAACCATATTTTTCAAAATGTTTATATGTGTACATATGTACACGTCATTTTAAAATAAATACGTACAACAAATCCCGTTTGAATAGAGAAAGTAAAATTGTGTAATATACATAACGCGGTCTTTGATTCAGACTACGCCCAACACATGTCTTAATTTTCTCCGCACTTCAAACATATCTAAATTTCTTAGTCAGTACTGGATGAATTATTTACCTCATTCTTCATAAGAATTTTTAATTTTATGTTTATTGTGCGTTTTTCTTTAACCTTAAGACCGTCTTTTTAATATACTATTATATTAATGTTAAATATTTTTTATTTAAATTGTTTTAACTCCGCAGAAACGCACAGCGACTTCGAACTTTCATATCATATAACCGACCATCTCCTGGCGGCCGGTAATTTGTCATCAATACAAAAATCTTAATTATATACTCCTGATATATGTAATCTATTTAAGAATCTATAATATAAATTGAAATATTCATTGCGGATCAAAAATCCATTAATTATTTAAATTTCCCTCTAATATATATATAACACTTTTTCTTGCATTGTAATTTAATCAAATGACCCATTTGATATAATTATATTGAATTATTGCTTGATAGTAAAAACATAATAAAGGGAAATAATCAAATGTTGAACCCGCTTTTGATTGGTTCGTTTGGATCTAAAATCTCGAAACTCGAATTTTGAATCTCGAATTTCGAATTTTCAATCTCGAATTTCGAATCTCGTATTTGGAAACTCGAATCTCGAATGAGCCTTCTGGGCTTTCGTATCTTTTTGTGTGCAGATCATAAAATGTACTGAGCTGCACGGGTATTTGTTGTCCGAGCGCATTAATCTTGACGCCCAAATTCTTACTTGGCCAGTGATACCTTTGAGAAAACATGTGTATCTAGATGAAAGTTAACTCGGCAACATGCGCCATTCCACTGTATAAATTTTATTAGGTGATTACACCTCCTATACCCGATTTCGCGGATTCAACGATACCCTAATATCGAGTATTATACGCGATTTCACGGATAATACCCGATTTCGAGTATTCTCTCCGACCTGTTGAATGAATTCAAGAGAGATCTATTGAAGTCAGATATTAAAAAATGGTTTATGCCTATCTACGAGTCGAATTCAGCTTTAAGTTTAAGATGTTCGATCACGTACTCGAAATCATCAACAGAATGAACAAGATTAAACAATGATTAAGAAACAATTTAAGCATTCAACATGTTTTAACAAAGTGGACTTTAACCTAAAAACCACCCTGCAAATGATGATTTTCCAAAAGGGTTACTTATAATATTTCCACCGTTGTATGTTCCACCAGTTCTCAGAAGCACATCGTCTCCCTGGACGACATGGACCACAACAGTACCAGTAACACTGCCATCAATAGTATTACCTGAGTTTAGATATGTCGAACCTACAAAATTGTTATTGATCAACAATTCGACTGTGTGATATGATGCTCCAGACATTCTTATAGTCCATGTAAACACGTAAAGACCAGATTGAGGCGCTATGAATGTTCCATAATGAGGATGGTAGGCATTTCCAGCATTTGTGATTATTGAATCAAATATAAGGATATGGTGTGCGCTTGGAGATGGAACATCCTTTGATAAATACACATAGAATGCAACAATATTGCCATGTGATGCTGCAGTTGTTACAGGAGCAAGCAATCGATCTGAAAAATATTTTTAAAATGCATATATTGTATTGTAATAAAGTGCACATAATATTGCAATAAGAACATATGAAAAGCTATGAAGCTGACAGGCTATTACCTTTTCTTATCAAACTGTCTTTGTGTTTGATGACGGCATTAGGGAAGGAGGACTTTTCCCTCAGGAAATGTATAACATTTTGCACTCGAGTTTTTAGTCCCCTGTATAGTTTTTCTTGGACATACTGTCTACTCAGAAACATGGAAATCTTTTTCTTTGTGGTCCTCTTCAATATTTTCTCAGCTAAAACGTCCTTCGGATGTTTTAACAAAATTTCATCTAAACGCAAGTACTGCTTTTCTAGAGTGGAAATCCGTTCGTCTTGCTTGTTTTCGTTGCTGTGGAGATCGATGGCTATAAGTTTTTCCAAGTTCCGGTTCTGCACCTCTAACTGAGAAATGCGATCACTTTGGAGGTGTACGGTCGTTTGGAGTTCCTCTAATTTCTCCATCACCGCCTTCAAGTCGATATTGGTAACAAGTGTTTCCCCACCATGGCCATTAACAGTGATATAGAGAAATTGGACCAATATGAAAAGAAATAATCCCGTCTGCATTTCAATCTAGTACCTTTGGTAAAAGTGCTCACCTCGAATATATTATCAATGTGTCTTTAACTACAAGGAAAAGAACTGATAAGCATATATCACAACCATTTCTATAAATATGTTTCATTCAGACTAGTACTATTTTTTTGCATGTTTTTTTTTGTTTTATTTTTAAATACTTCTCTTGTATTGGTTCATTAAAATTTATATTTGAACAGTTACTAACAAAATGTCGAATATCTGTTAACAATAATTATTTAGTCGCTTCAATAGCGCACTTACCGCCCTCTACAAGTATTTATCTTTTTCCCAGCCTCATATAGAATTCATTTATCGTAAGGTTCTCTGAAAATATAGGTACTACTTCTGGTAAAACTCGTGTATCCTTTATAGCGTATTCAAATGCTCAACAGACAGGAGGATTGAGCTGGAATACTATCTCATGTCGAGACTATACCAGTACCACTACAGATGCTTCAAGGACGTCTGGCAAAAATCATACCCTACATAGGTGTCCTAGTATATTAAGAACAGAAGCAGAAAATGACTTTTTTATCGATGATTTGTTATAGTTTTGAATTTCTTAAAATGCAAAACGTACACTTAACATATTTCCTGAAGTGCAGCTGAGGGAAATAGTCTTGCTCTAGGGAAACTGGAATCTTGCCAACCCCCACAGTGATATATTTTAACTGTTTTTACGAAGTCTCTTAGTACACTGGTAATAAAATTAGACCATTTTCAAACCCTGTAACTTATTTTATACGCATTGCAGTAATAAGGTGTGCAATGGAAATATTAATTGCGCAGAATATTAAAGGGGATGAAATAAATCCAGTAAAAGATCTTCCAGTTTAAAATAATGGTCGATAAATTACAACGTATCGGTAAGCGAAATAAATTACTAGGTCTTCCAAATGGGTATGTATCAGTTCATCAAATTAAACCGACACTCCTTTTTGTAAGGAATCAGTGTTTTACGGTGATTCTCGGGAATCAACAAAATATATCAATTTACTCTTATATAGTGAAAAATTAGTAGAGATATATCCACAGTGAGGCAAAAACCATGAAAATTAAATTTCTTGTCCTCTTTCCCAATAGAATTGGCTAAAATTGGCTGAACAGTTCATGAAAAAAAAGCAACTAGAACTGTCCAAATGGGACAAAATACGCCCCGCTGGGTTTTTCAGAAGTTTTTCCTTAATAAAGATAGGTATCAAACATGAATTATGAAATTTTTCTTCTGGTGACCTTGAACTTCCCCAAATGACCTTGGGTCAAGGTCATGACACACCCTTAGGTCATGAACAATCTTTGTGTGAAATGAGAACCTACCAAGTTTATCCATAAGAAAGAAATGGACCGGACACGAATTATGAATTTTTTTCCCAATGACTTTGAACCTTCCAAAATGACCTTGGCTCAAGGTCACAACACACCCGTAGGTCAGGTTCAATCTTTGTGTGAAATGAGAACCTACCAAGTTTATCCATAAGAAAGATATGGACCGGACACAAATTATGAAATTTTTCTTCCAGTGACCTTGAACTTCCCCAAATGACCTTGGGTCAAAGTCATGACACACCCTTGGGCCATCAGCAATCTTTGTGCGAAATGAGAACCTACCAAGTTTATCCATAAACAAGAGGCCCACGGGCCTTATAGGTCACCTGAGTATTGTACAACATCTTTCAAACAATTAAATTTGGTTCATGTTTTAAACCAGAGGCCATGAAATTCACAATTCACAATTTTGAAAGAGGCACCATTGCTTATCATAATTGAAAAACTTAGCATGCTTACTCTACTTACTCAATATCCAGAGGTAGATCTGAGTTACAAACAGAAAATGTTCTTCCACTTTATAACTAGTTGTGCACCTCACCCCAAAAGAACCACTGACCCTGGGGCCACATATTTCAAAATTTTGCAAATTTTATCAAAAATGGTTGATTAATACCAAAAAGCAGATTTCAAAGCATTAATTTATTTTCAGACTATGTAACTCCCCACCCCCCCACCCCCCTTGACCCAGGGGGGGGGGGGGGGCATATAAAAATAAACATTTTGCTACATGCACCTTTTTTCATCATAAATATATATACTTGGATCATTGGCATAAAACCCAGAAGCAAAGGAAAATATTTTCAAAGAATTAATGTATTTTTACTGAATAATCAAAAGAGCCCTGGCACTAACACCAGAACCCCTGACTCTAGGGCCTTAAAATTCACAAGTTTGGAAGAGGCACTCTTGCTCATCATAACTATGTGCTTAATTAGTTTATTTAATACACAGAAGCAGAGAAGAAGATTTTCAAAGAATAAATGCATTTTCACTATATAATCAATAGTGCCCCACCCTAGCTCTTGAACCCCTGACAATGGGGCCAAAAAATTCACAATTTTGAAAGAGGCATTCTTGCTCATTATAACTATATACTTAGTTCGTTTATTTAATACCCAGAAGCAGAGAAGACGATTTTCAAAAAATAAATGCATTTTCACTATAAAATCAATAGAGCCCCGCCCTAACACCACAACCCATGACCCTAGGGTCATAAAATTCACAATTTTGAAAGAGGCACTCTTGCACATCATAACTATGTTCTTAGTTTGTTTATTTAATACCCAGAAGCAGAGGAGAAGATTTTCAAAGAGTAAATGCATTTTCACTGTATAATCAATAGAGCCCCACCCTTACACCACTACCCCTGACCCTGGGGCCATAAAATTCACAATTTTGGAAGAGACACTTTTGCTCATCATAACTATGTACTTAGTTAGTTTATTTAATACCCACGAGCAGAGAAGAAGATTTTTAAAGAAATAATGCATTTTCACTATATAATATATATAGCCCCACTTAGCACTAGAACCCCTGACCCTCGGGTCATGAATTTCACAATTTTGGTAGAGGACTCAATGCTCATTACATTCATGCCAATAGTTTGCTTGTTTGATGTCCAGGAGTAAAGAAGATTTTTTTAAGATTGTAATAATTTTAGTGGTTTTGGCCTCACTCCTCAGGCCCCAGGGGGCAGGGACCATAAAATTCAAAATTTATGTTCCCCTTTACCCATAGATGCTGTATACCAAATTTGGTTGAAATTAGCTCAGTGGTTTTAGAGATGAAGCTGAAAATGTTGCAAATGTGAGAAGCAGAACACACAGAGGACGGATGAAAACAGATAGCAATATGTCACCTGAGTTACTCAGGTGACCTAAAGGGGTAAAGAAGGACCAGACACAAATTATGAAATCTTTCTTCCAGTGACCTTGAACTTCCCCAAATGACCTTGGATCAAGGTCATGACACACCCTTGGATCATGGGCAATCTTTGTGTGAAAGGAGAACCTACCAAGTTTATCCATAAGAAAGATATGGACCGGACACAAATTATGAAATTTTCTTCCAGTGACCTTGAACTTCCCCAAATGACCTTGGGTCAAGGTCATGACACACCCTTAGGTCATGGGCAATCTTTGTGTGGAGTAGTAGATTCTAATATCCCTCTGTAAGAAAGATATGGACTGGACACGATTGCACAGACAGACGGACAGACAGACAGACAAGGCGATTCCTATATAACCCCCCAAACTTCGTTTGCGGGGGGTATAAAAACTGTTCAACATTTGAGGCATGGCAGTAAATCACATGAGTGACTTTGCTGAGCAATAAATAGAACAGTTTTAAGGGATTCTTTTTACAGTATTTATTTGCAGACTTAATGTAAAGTAAAAAAAAATGTGTATTTCTACAACTTCTCAAAAAAGGAATAAATTACAAAACTAAAGGATGAAATCTTCCAATATTCTCTGCAGAGTTCATCTCAACAAGTTAACATTTTCAATTTCTTTTCCTTCCTTTCTAAACAGGGAATAAATGAAAAATCTACAGAAAAAGCCTAGTCTATTTTTATAAGATTTTCTTCCCTTTTGTAAAATTCTACTTATTATACATAATTAACTTCAGCATTACAGACAGACTTAAAGATCATAATTTACCGTTCTTTAAAATACAAACTATCTGCATGTCTGAAAAAGGAAACTTTTTCTGAAAATAAAACTTCATCTTTCTTTTTTCTGCAAATGTTGCAAAACATGGGTTGAAAAATGTTTCTTTGATGCAATTTTCTTTTAAAAGTTGATAAACAATTAATGTCTACATTACCATATATATGTATATCAAATAAATACCAGTAAGAGTATTGGAGAATAGTTAAACACGGGTTATTAGTCCAATAAGCTCAATTTTTGCATAGGGAATGTTAAAGAAATCTAATTGATATAATAAATAATGCTGTGATATTGCCATAGTTTGCTTTGGAATGGGACCGTCTCCAACACAAACTATTTGCATAAATAATAGAAAATAAAACAAATTAAAAAAATCTACTACAAAACTTGTTACTACAAGAAATATAGAATATACCAAAAAAAAAAAAAGATAATAGAGCTATAGAAATTTATAAACAAATCCTTTTCAATTTCAAAATCACTACAATAAAACAAATTTTAAGACTACTATAAATAAATACAAATGTTTACAATATTCTTTATAAATTATGCATGGCTATGCAAAAATGTGCGAGAATAAGCAAAATTTTTTTTATTTCAAGTGAAAAAAATGGAAGATTTTCTGTGTGGTTTTCGGATTAAGCAATAACAATTTGTGTCATAACAACAAACATAACAAGATATATGGACATCATTTTCTTCCCAATGTAGGTAGTAAAATATATCTGTACAGAGAATCATGATATGGTTGATAAAAATGATCACAAAAAAAGACATATTCAAGCACTGCTTGAGGAGCAAGTAAACCCAGCTTGCTGATCAATTGTAATTTAATACACTAACTGCTTTACTGCAAAACAAATTTGGTCTCGAATACACATG